TCAAGGAGGCAGCACCAGCAGCAGATGTTTAAAAACAGGAAATTACAGCAAACTGCCCAAAGCTTTAGAGGCAGGAGAAGAGAAGGAACTGGTTTTACAGTTCAGGTTAGAGCTAAAAACATACTTTACTTAACTTAAGTTGCGATGACAGTGAAGACACCGATTAAATTTAATGGCTTTCACTACTTGCCTTAAGCATTGTGTGTTTTTAATGGTGTACATAACACCAGTGTTTTTAACATAGACCGCAGCCTATCATTAATATCTGCACAATGAACAAATGTAAAGGAAAAGTTTTATTTCTGTGGCGGTCAGGTGACAGACAGGAAACTAGAAAGAGAAGTGTTCTGACATAACAGCTGGCAACAGCAGGTGTGGCAGGTTAAAGACAAAACTAAGAGAAACATGTAAAAGATCACTGTATTCTGAAAAATATTCTGTGACAACAGTGTTGACACTGTGACACCATACTTAATACATGACAACAATCTGCAGTCTGCAGCAAATGATTGATTTTCTTTGGAAGAACAAAACAAAGTACTGACAGTGAGATAAAGTTTATCACAGGATTTGTTGACTGTTGCACATAAACTTTACAGTCTTATCTGAACTCGTAAATTGGATAAAAACAGGGTGGGGTTTTTAGATGACCACCCAATGGCTTTAGAATCCTTCGGAAAACTGGTCAAACAACAACAACAGCGTCATGACAATAGTCTGTGGATACAATAGTTATATTTAATAACCTACAAACCTACGACCACTGGTACGAACCTTGTTGGTGTAAAAGCAAACTCTCTAATAACTAGGTTTATGAACCAAAATAAAAAAGAATAAAATATAAAACAACCTTAGAAAAAAACAAACAATTATAACAGTGTCTCATGTCTACGAGGACAAGAGCCATCTCTCAGGGTAAATTCTCGTCATACTTCACCATGTAGGTAAGAGACACATTCTAGTTTCTCTGCTGTCCTTCCCTCTACACGTTTAATCCACATCAGCACAAACACAAACACACAGAACAGCTGTGGAGAAAGGACGAGTTCTGCCATCATCAGCTGGTTTGAGGTGAACTCAGACATCACTGTAGCCACACTGTTAACACTTTAAATCAAACAAGATATTTGGAAATGTTGGGGGTTTTAGGAACTCACTTGAAGGCCCATGAAGTTATCAAATAAAATAAATAATTCAACACACTTAATTGACCATATGTATGAGTGTGGATAACTGTTGACCCTGAGCTGTGCCGAGTGTCCTTACCTGACGACACCAACCCATTAAGAACCATCTGATTCTGATCCCTTTCTTGATGACCTTTTTTCCCCACATACTGTTTCTTTGGTATGAACAGCAATCAAGTAAAGACGACTTGTTTGCTTTGACTTAAATAATCTTCATGAACAGGTACAGAGATATCAGATCACAGCACAGCCAGGATGAAAACTGACTCTGATGCACTCAGTGACTATAATGACATGAAATGTGAAGAGCCATTAGTTTTTCACCTCACATGACTGCTGACATGAACTGCTCTCAAATGTAAATGAGAATTTTGCCTAAGCTATGAAGGACTGTGAATGTACCTTGTTTGTCTTTCTATGTGGCCCTAGGTTGGACCGACTAATTGTTCAGGGTTGACTTCTGGGAGTAGCTGCAGTTTCCACTGGAAGCTCTGAGGAAGTAAGCAGTAGATAGAATACATGCAGATAAAAATAACTGGACTCGTCTCTGTCACGTATAAAAACGATATTATGTCACTGTTTCTTTCTAAAACGTTTTGCCCAATTTACACCAAACAACAATTCAACATCTCTGACTGTGACTGACCGATGGCTTCTTCAACAAAAGCTTAACACAAGCCACCATGTTAGCAGATAAAACCCTTCTCTGTCTGCTCTGTTATCATCATCACTGAGAGGAGGGGAGGGAGAAGGGGGAGGAGGGATGAAGAAAACCACAGCTGGCCATGAGAAGACTATCAGCAATGTTCGAAGAAAAAAGGGCTAGAAGTTAAGCAACAGATGGAAGGAGGACAGTACAGGCTGCACCACTGCAGATCACATCTGCAGCAGATGCAGCAATGTGACATGTAGCAGTGATAAATCATGGTATTTTACCACTGAGCTTTTTCTTCAAAACATTTATTACAGGGCCATGAATAGTTTAGCCCAAGCTAGAAAACAACTCCCACAGAGTTGGTGCTGCAGGAGGACGGAGGAGGAGGAGGAGGAGAAACATAATCACTTAAACACACTCAAATGAGGTCCCTGCTCAAGTTTGTACCAAACAGATACACAATTCAAAACAGGACAGACACCAAACTATGTTTTTCTTGTTGACTTATTGAGATCTCTAGGTCTGTAGTGCACAAACAGATGCTGTACTGATGCTGCAGGTGAAGGGTTATGTAAGAAACACTACAGTTTTTGTCTAGATGTTTTTTGTTTGTTTTTTTAATTATCTGCAAAGGTTCTAATAGTACATTTCAGAGAATCGATGATAAGGTTGGTCCTATTTAAAACTTGCAGCACAGTGTAGTATGAGAAGTGTTTGTTCCACCTCATGTGCTAAATGCAATAGACACCTCAGAAAATGTGCATGAAGCCTAAGGAGAAACTACAATTCACAATCTGTAGTTTGGTATATTACATTTTAGAATTTATAAAGAGGTAAAAATGACAAGCTGAGATTTCACTGACTACCCTTAATTTATTGAACGTAACCTCAACATATTCCAGAGGTCATGGGACGCAGGCAAGAAATGAAAAGTGTCATAGAAATAAATGTTTAAAATGCCTGTGGATTTTGGTCATAAATGAAGCTTTAGATTCAGTTTTAGTAAGCAGTAGGACTTTTCAGACGAGTCATCATATATATAACCATCGCTCACAATTAAAGGTTAAGATAATTACTAAATTACTGACTATAATTGTTAGTTAACTACTTGAAATTGGGCAAACATGTCTGGGAATAGGTCTTATAACTAAAACTAAAATCAACACATTTTAATTATGATATTTAACTATTTTTCAAAAACGGTTCCACCGAGTGAACGACAGAAAACATGCTTGGTTCTGTTTCTTTGCACCAACACACTGTAAGAGCTGTACATCTATGATTCTATGCTGTCATGCAATCAAATTAGCATGGAATCCTATTCCTCTGTGGAATTAAAACATTTCACCTACGCCCAAATACAAACACGGCACACACTGTGAAAGCATGTGCAGAGTGAGTGATTTACAGACAGTAATGCTTCACCGCACAGAGTGAGGACGACAGGAAGTGACAATGACGAATATGAAGTCTTTACCGACATCAGGTCTTGACATCTCAACAAGAAACATACAACTTATCTTAAAAAAAATTATCAGCTTCAATATGTCAAAGTCTGAAATACAGAGCCAGGCGTTAGCAGAGAGAGTTTGAGTCATTTCACGCCTTGAACTCTTGACAGTTTCTCTACCATTATTATGGGACCACATTTGCTTAGCAGCTAAATATAAGATAGAGTAAAGAAGCATGATTTGATGATGTCAGCGGCATGGCTACAGAGTGATGGTTTATTGGTGACTTGTCCTGCCACAGGTGTGGCAAACTTGACACACGTTAAACTTTTAAATTAAAACTAACAAAAAGCTGTTATCACTTTTTGCTAAGCCAACAGTACAAGGGGTCAGTGCACATTCAAATACAGTGAGATAAAATCCATGGCAAACAAATGAAACTAGGAATATGAAAATAAGACGTCATATCACACGGTGACAACCTCGCCAGCACCGAAGTCCAAAGTGGCCTTGAACACACGTTCAACAGTAGGAATGTGTGTAACAGTGCCACAACACATTCCTGTATAAAAGCCACAAGGCATGCAGGTACACTTTCACACCCTGCTGAGTACCTGTCAGTGTCATTCCCGTCATACCACTCTGCATCTAAACACACACACTCACACTGTGTTCCTCAACCAAGTGCTCTCCTGCAGACACTGCTGTTCCTTCACATGTTTCTCAGCCCACCTGAAACTCAAACACTTGCCAGAGGTAAAGTTGAAACTGTGCGGTTTGGCAGCAGGCTGCGTTGGGAATCTGAGGGAAGTTGTAGTTACAAGTCCATTGTATAAGTGTCACAGTTGAGCGTTAGGGTTTGGGAACAAAACTCATTCCCATAAAAAGTTGGTACTCAGTCTCACAATGTAATTTCCTTGATACTATATTTATTAGGCAGAAAGGACAGGTGCTGTGATAGATAGACTAGTGGATCTACTAGTCTTTAATCTCAAACAAAAGGCACACTCTAAATATGTGCAACAGAATCACTTAAAACAAATGGATCTGGTGCTATAGGCAGCTAATCCATGCTACACCACATTCCAAAATGTCGCTACAACAGGAGGCGGGAAAAAAAAGGAGGAGGAAACACAAACTGGGTACAGATGCAACATAATCTAAAAAAAAACAAAAACGTAAAAAATAAAGTGTAAATGAAAAGGAGACAAAAACGCAAACACGATGACTTGACACAACCACATCTCTATGACAGTGTAAAGACTTCACAGCAACCAAGACTTGCACTGAAACTTGTCACTATGACAACCATATGGTTTCTGTAGCAACAGTGCGACACAGTAAAATCAACAAGGTATGAGTCACTTCCTGTGCCGTACACAATTCTTCCTCTTTTAAGTCAGTGAGTCTGTGGCAGGGTTGACTCTAGAGGGGCAGAACGATACATGAGCCACAGAAGTACTGCGCACTGCGCATGTACAGATGTATACATATAGATACACACACATACACACACGTAATAGTAGGGTTAACCCTGAGGAAGCCACTGTGCAGTGCTTCAAAGTGACAAACCTAATGCGACGCCATCATTCAGTAGAACATCCAGTAAAAAACAGTATTTGTGCTTTAAAATACCACCAGAACCATCATGTACATGGACCATGAGACCTAAATACTGCGATCCCAGTAGGAATAAATGCCTCATACCTTTTGGCCTCCTCCAAATGACACAAGTACTCGTAGGCCATGTTCTGCTGTCGCCTCTCGTCCATCTCCTCCGCTGTGAGCCGCTCCACTCCATCCAGGACAGCTGGAGACCCAGGTGTACAGAAGAGGATATTTTTTAACAACACAGAAAGTCAAAGCAGAGAAGAAAATAGGATTTTTCTGTATTCACACAAAAAGGAGTACAAATGACTATTAATGGATATTCCATTACTTTGCTCTGGTTTCCCAAAATAGAAGCACATGCAGTTGACTTATAAAGAAAAGACAAAAAATTCCATCAGCCCAACCCGGCGTTCCCAAATTTCCAGACACTGAGTTGCCTCATGAAGTAAAACCACCCTCATTCATTGGGCATGTGTGGGGCAGACCTTACATACAGGCCCAAGGCTGTCAAAGATTATAATAAAAATGTTTTTATTCATTCACTGAAAACAAAACCCACCATGCAGGGGGATTGTGGGTCATTTCCCCTGAGATTACAAAGATTGAAGTCATGATTCTGCCTGCAGAGTAATGCGGGAAGTTTCCCCCAAATTATGGTTAGGGGGATGGGGACAGGATGAGGGTGTGTAACACAAAGAGGCCCCTATTTGTGCTTCTGTCACAAATCAGGTGGGAGATTTGAGTGTGTGTGGACAAAGGCAAGAGGAGGAGGAGGAGGAGGAGGAGCAGGTAAATCCTGATTTGACCAAAACAGAGATGCTATACTCTGGAGTCAGACTATAGACTGCTCTAGAAAGATAATGTAAAAACTTCCAACATTCATTATTATTCATTATCTGCTGCACAGACAACCAGTCACAATCACTATGACCATTTATTTATCACCATTTTAGGGCACACACTGGTGGCCTATAATTTAATCATAGTTGGCCAATTATAAACTTGCTAAAATAATAGCAAATTCTAAATTTTAAAAAATCTGATAGAAAAATAATTAAATTATTTGCCTAGGCTAATGTAGTAGGTAACAAAATAATTTATTTGTGAGCAAAGAATTAACCAAAATACAAAAGGTAGCTGTAAGTTTAGTTAAAATAAGCACAAAAAACTGCTATCTCACAGTTGAGGAAAAAAGAGTGAATAGAGTGAATGGAGCAATGACCAACGTTTGTTAGAAGTTGAACAATGCATATCTTTACGTTAGCCAAATTTAACCAAAAAAAATCAGCAGAAACACCTGCATAAAAACTGCTGAATGTTCCATTAAGGTTAGAACATTAAAAATAAATGGCTAAAATGTATCCTAAATTTAAGACTACACTGGATGCCAATGAAATAAGAAAGATAGTAAATAAATGCTTCCATATCTAGTGGATCTAGTGTGGAAAATTTATTTGAATGAAATTAGACTTGGCCACAAAGGAGTTCACTAACCACAGCAGTCCCCTGAGCCATACTTTGGACATCGCTAATTGAAGCTAAGCTGGTCCAGGTTTACTCGTCATTATACAGTATGATTCCGTTTGAAGAAGTTGTGAAATTCTTGATTGCACATCCACTTTTTAATAGTATAACTGACACAACACATTTAAATGTTTTAAAGTGTCCGCTGTTCTTTTTTGGTTTGTCTCTGTACGGCTCCGCCAAGGATGTTTATTTTTATTTATATATATATGTAGTAAACACGTTTAGACACAGTTGTAGAAAAGTTGTGAGGTCCGTTGCAGCAGGCCTCCCTCTCTTTTCTCTTCCTCACTCTCTGCGATGCATTAGTATAAAAACGCGGAAGTCATAATTCGTCTCTACCCATGCTGTCAGAGCTCAAACCTGGGCTTTTCTAACGTCCTGCACCTGGTCTCACACTCTGCCTGGTCCGAGACTGCTCTGCCTGGTCTGACTGGCTCTTTAAGGCCAGGTGAGAAGTCAAAAAGTCTGAACTTACAGCCATATCTAGGTCGGTATCCGTCCGTTTCTTCTGAAGTTGACATGCTGCCGTGTCTCCGCTCTCCTTCTCTGAACAAACTTTGAGCACAGTCCCAGTCTGTGTGCTCCCAAACTTCCTGGAGCTGAAGAAGAAAAAAAATCCCGCTGAAAACTAACAGAAACCCGAGCAGGAGCTCCCGGCCCTCCTGTTCCTCCTCTGCACAGTTGAGTTGAGCGTTTTTTCTTCAAACCTCACTGATGTCACTGGGTGTGTTCTTCCTAATCCTGAACTATGCATTTAAGGAAACGCAGCTCTGCAACTTTACAGACGACACAGCCATGAGCTGCGCCCCCTGCTGCCTACCCCCGACAGCTACAAGAGGAGGAGAGGCCTATAAATTCAAAGAAACCCGAACTCAGTCACCAGAACATTAAAAAATAAAAAATAAAACATTTTTACCTTTAATGTTAATGTTAACGGACAGTTAACCGAAGACAGCTAAGCACCGGAGCGTGTTATTACGTCATCTCCCCATGAAGAATAATGTCAACTCGTAGTCGAGAACATAATTAGTCTTAGTGGTAAAACCTTGGTTTTTTTGTTTTTATATAAAATCTAAAATATAAAACGTTATGCATGATAATCAGAACAAACTTCTCTCAGTTTTAAATACATGTTTGGCTACTCTGTAACAATTTCATCAAAATTCAGTGAAAAATAAAAATGTAAAAGATTTAGTTTTAGTATAGTATAACTTCATGGGCTAATCCAGAGATCATTCATTCATCAATAAAAGTGATCCCAGTGATCAAACATGGCTTCCTCTGTAGGAAAGTCCAGATTTTTTTAAATGACCCTTCTTAAGTAATCAAAACAAAGAACACACTCTTTTAAGTGCACACTCATAAAAGCAGAAAGTAAAAAAAAAACTACAAATCCAATGCCTCCACCTATGAATATATATATTATCCAAACTGAAAGTAAATATTTATTATGAGGTCTTTGGATTGGCGTCATTACCTCACAGAAATATAATGGCTGATCAAGCTGTAAATCAAGATTAGAATCCCCGTATAAAGGCTTTGGGTGAAGTTTACAGGTTCAATGGGAAGAAAATATAGAAAACTCTTATTTAGATGTTATCGGTACAAAGCAGACTTGTCCCAGACATCTTTAAATATCTCTGTTTTTATGTGTAAATTAAAAAAAGATTTTAATGATGGATAAGGAGTAAAATGTTACATGTAACTACAACAGCCTGTTAGGTGATCTGATACATTGTATGTGACATTTTGTTCTTTTTAGTTACAGTATATTCATACTATTAAGAAATTGTACCAGTCTGACACATCCATTGGTCAAACATTAGGTGCTGTTTCACACAGCTCATTAAAAGTATTTTTCTAATTACTAAAAATTGCTGCTTTGTTGAAGTTACGGTATAGGATTTAGCCTTAGAGTCATGAACTTGTTGTTAAATATTCCTCACTCATACAGGAGGATATCTAGTATTTAGACTTAACTGAAAGATAGATAAAGATTATAGTTTGCCCACCATGGGCTAATTTTAATACATGCTGGTGAAACATAGTGGCTTTCCAAGTGAAGACTTACCCTGAAACAACAAATCCTAATGTTGAGTAAATAAACCAAGAGGCTTCACATAAATTATTTATTTATGTTCCTTTTTAAAACTAAAATAGACACCACAAAGGGTTAATGGCTGTAAATGCTCTGTATCACACGAGTCAATTAACCAAGAAGTAGGTAAAAGGCAACGAGCTTCCATTGTACATCAGGATAATCTAACCAGTCAGGACTGGACATTTATATTTACAGCTTTACCAAAATCTTTCTTCTGATCCTAACCCCCAGCTGATGCTACATTTAGCCTTACTGAACGCCACTTTGTCCACTGATCGACTTTGAACATGATTGGTCCCTCATCTCAAATATCAGATAAATGAATTCCCATCGAATACCTTCACACGGATATCCCTGCAGCACACCGAAGGGAAACCCGGTGGCCTCGGAGATTATAGTTGTAAAACGGCTAATTGACAATATAAACAGTTAACAAGCTGCTACAACGCTACCTCGTCTCATAGTAAATTGGCAGGTTTGATGATGATTAATCGATTTTTGCAGTACGTTTCCAAAAACAAATCCAAAATCATCCATTATAATTCCTCTCAAAATCATTTATCTGAGGCTCGTCATGTCTTATACCCAATTAATAAATACTTCGAAGTGATGCAGTTACAAACAGCGACGCTTAAGTATTAGAAACAAATATCCTGTACCATATACAGGTAAAGTACCTGCATGGCTGGCATCACGTGAACAACCATATGAGAGAACATATACGTTGACGTAGCTCCACTCACCATAAATCTCTCTTAACTCCGGTGGCATTAAAGCAGCTGTCCATCTGACCCAAACTCTGCTTCTCTGTCCTGCAGCGGCCGCTCGGGCGGGGCTTCCACACCATATAAGAGCAGAAAGTCCATCGACTGTTAGGAGACTCTTCTGTGACCGGCTGCGACCCACTGCTTGTTCAGGCCGTAGTCACTGCATCCGAAAACTTCCTTCCTCCTTCATTCTCCTTCTCTTCTTCCTCTTCTATATCCATCGGGACCAGCACCATGGACAGCTCCGGGCTGCTCCGGGGGCTGCTCTTCCTCGGCCTGCTCTCCGTCCTGTGTCACGGCCAGGCGTCCCAGGAAGTGTCTGCTGAGGACTTTACTGTGGACAAACCCGAACCAGCCGCAGACAGAGACCTGGTCAGTATCTAAATGAAGACAACTTGAAGTGTCACAGCGATTTTTATCCCTAGAGCTACAAGGTCCCATTTTCTAAAGTTAAAAATAAAACCTTTTACTCATTTGGTTACCTGTTAGAGTTTGTTGTATTTTGATCATACAGTTCCTAAATTATTATAATGAATAACCAGAATGTTATTATTTCAAGTTGTTATGTTATGTCTTTGAACTCAGCTTTCATTAATCATAGATTTTGCTTTGATATGCAAGAAATCGTTAACACTAATCGGATGTTATGATGGTAATTTGTAAATGGAGTTGTTGATTTATTTAATGATGTTATGATGGTAATTTGTAAATGGACTTGTTTGTTGAGCAGATTGATGCATTGGAGACTCTGCTGGGCAGGATGCATAATCGGATTTCCTACGAGAAAAGAGGAAGTATCCCCCTGGTAACTGCACTTTATTCCCTTAAACTACTGAATACACCTTTACAGAGAGTATATTATAGATGTATAGCCTTTGTTGTACATCACTTTGAGGCTTTTTTTAATTAAACCATTGGTAGAAGAAAACATGTTGCTAATTAAAAGATAACAGGATAATGCCATCAACAGCCTTTCTCTGAGGGTAATTAAAAAGTAACTGCTGCTCAACCCTAACTGGCTTTTACAAGTTAGTTTCAATTGACATAGTATGTACTGTATGTCTGCCATAGCTAGATGTGTTTGAGTGGTCATCATGTCTAAGACTGTGCCATATAAGTACAGAGCATTTACCATTTCTGTTGCCTTTCGTTCTCCCTCAGTGTGGAATGGGTGACCGCTGTGCCATGAAGTATGGGCCGCGCATCGGGAAGCTCTGTGACTGTGGAAGAGGAGCCAACTGCAACTCTTACTTACTCAAGTGCATCTGACTTTTCACTTTTCATTTGACACTCAACCTTATTTTAGCAGGACCAAAAAAAACCCCAAAAACCAACTGTCATCTTACGGCGGAGTCTTGAGTCATGATTCAAAGATCTCATTAATGTCTAGCCGATGCTTTAGAAGGTTATAGGATATGCATGGAGTTTTGTATCCCTGAATGCCTCTGTGTCTTTCTTCAGCATGTAAAGTCTAATATTAAATAAACAGATTTGTTCACACATTGATTTGTGATTTTATTCATTGTATGGATGAAGTTATAGGAATACATCAAATCTGATATGACCTTAAATACAGTGACTCATTTGAACCACTTTTACACGTTTGTGTTTAAGTGCTAAAAAATATTTTTGTTTGTTATTTTTTGTTGTTGCTGTACTTTTTCATTATCTGTTACTTTGTACTTTTTATTGTCTCTGTTAAACAGAATGTGCACCCAGCTAGAACCACTGCATGTGTGCAAACAACAGCTTTAATGGTGACAAAAGAGGATTATGAGAGACCTGTTCACATCTGTCAACAAACTAAATGATTTTTCAATGTTATTAAATAGACTTAGCTGTGCAGGTTCTGTCTGTGGAGACAGTAGCTCCATAACGTAGTTTGACAACTATGTATATTATATTTGTGTCTGTGTTTGTTTTCTGTCAATATAATATATGTTATTTTCATCTTTGGAGAATTAATTCAATAAAATGTTAGAGAAGAGACCAAACAAATGTTGCAGAAAGAAATTGTATAAATAGTAAATAACAAAAGTAGGTCAGTTGGTCTGTTCATAAATGATGACTGTTCAGAACTGTAGGACCCAGACACAGGTGCGACATCAGAGCTAGGCTGTCTTAAAGAACTGTTAATGCAGCAGTACACTGAAGATGTTCTACTACTTTTTGTGGCCAGTAAACTGTTCTTTGCTGTGGTCAGCACTGGAGCTGCAAGTCTTACAGACCAAACAAATAGATTAGGGAATTAGGAAGTTCCATTACTGGTTGCTAACAGAACACATTTCAAGCTGTGGTGGGGGAAAAACAACAAACAAACGCTCTTCTATTATAGATAACACTGGCCATTCGCCCCACAGTACGCCTGATGGACATCAATGAACACTGACGAAAACAGTTGTTTCAGTTCAGTAGGAAATAAATAAATAAGGAATAAGTCAACAAGACCCCAAAATATCCTAATACTAGTGAATGCAAAGCATATATATATAGGATATTTGGTATGTCTACTGTTTAAATATATATATATATATATATATATATATACTGTATATACAGTGTATATATATATATATATATATATACTGTATATACAGTGTATATATATATATATATATATATATACACTGTATATACAGTATATATATATATATATATATATACTGTATATACAGTGTATATATATATATATATATATACTGTATATACAGTGTATATATATATATATATATATATACATATATATATCCCTGAGTCACAGAAGGGTATATATTATTATATATATTATGTATATTTGCACAACTGACAGAGGCACTCTGTCTGCCTGCAGTCCAGATCTGAAGCAGCATGAAAAGGAACACCAGACTATAAACAATGACAACAACAATAATAACAATAACAGTGATAACAATAATAATAATAACAGGCATATGCTTTGAGACGCTTGGCATGCAGCCAGCAGCTACACACTTCTTTATTTTCCCCCGGAGCCTTAATCCGTAGGAACATAAAAGAGTGAAGAGCTCATTTCAAGCTGCTTTTGGCACTGAGGGTAAGATAAGAGACAAACAGCAGGGTGATGTTCCCCTTTGCATAAGGCCCTGGAGCAATTCAGCTGTAATAAAAACAAGTCAATAGTAAATAAAAAGCAGCCTCACTCGTAAAATCTGCTTGGCTCAAGGTTTTTGTTTTTTTGTTTTTGTTTTTTTTGTCTGTTGCAAAAGAGATAGCAATCTCAGGTTACATATTCAATAGAATTACATTTTCTGCACTGCTGAACATGAACCTACGCATCACTTTTTTGCTCCCTTGATTGGATTAACACAAAACACATACTCTGCAGAGTGGAGAATATATCAATGGCTGACCACTGTTTCTTGATCTTTTTTTCTTCAGGTGACGTAGTAACCTATTTTAAATTTTAAAGAATGATTGTGAATTAGTATGTATTAAGGATTACAGTCAGACTGAGATTTGTTGAGCAAATACATCTTGAAATTAAACTTTGATTTAGTTAAGAGTGTGATATACTGTACATCACTGTGTATACAGTACATGGATACTCTCATTCACTAAAATGTATCAACCAAGACCTCACAGAAAGGCATATCTGTGAAATAAACTGTGGAGTTATGTTCTGCATTTTGGGGAGGAAACGTAATTCCTTCCCAGTTTTGGTCAAACGTTTGTGTAAGAGTAAGCAGAAAAGTGTTGTGAAGTCAGGAAACTGACCCAGTGAGTTCACTTTCACAATATCACGCTGAGGTAGTGTTTGCCAACATCGGTCATCCCCAGGCACATGAACTGATGCATTAGCAGAAGTGTGTTAAAATGATGGGAGTTGTTTTGATCAGGATCAACAGAAAACAAGTCCAGTGAGTGAATATCCTAACAGAGACAAGAGCCATACAGGTGTCAGACAAATTCAGACTCACTTCCTTTACTTGTTCTGTGTCTCTGTGAGGACATGCGTTGTTGTACGAATTCCTTTTTCACGGCTGCCTTGTTTCACATAGCTTGTTAAAGTCAGAACCTGAACTCACATTCTTCACTACGTGTCTCACCAGGCTGCTCCCTCCTGCAGGTTTTCCTCAGCCTTAGATTTGTTCACCTCGCCTCAGTTGCCTCAGTCTTTACTTGACTTTTTGTTTGTTTGTTTGTTTTTTGCCTTGCTTATATAATTTTTATTATTATTTTAACCTCTACACCACTACATAAACCACTATAAAATTTTAATTGAAGATAATGCGACTTTTAAAAATGTATTGAAATGCATGTTTCATTGTGGATTTTGCAGTGTATGTTTAATGAAAGTACTTGATGACATGAATGAGACAACACAATGGAGAGCACCTGTTGGTAGTTGATTTACGATTGATTGATCAATTTATTGATTAACTCACTAATTGTTGTATTTCTACAGGCACCAAAAGGTTTTAATATGACAATGATTTTAATCACATTGATCAAAATAAGGAGCTTTGCATGTACACTGTATTAGATGTTAAAGTATATTGTATTCATGTTTTGTTTTCATAATACTTTAAAAATTGTGTGCTGGTGTACCAGTACTACCCTACCTAAAATACCTGTGTCTATTGATGTTGGATGACGGACTCCTTGACATGATTCTCTATTACTGTTCCATCTACATTTGCAATCATTTCTCTTGTTTGTTTGTGTCCTGTTTTGCACCATGTTACACTGTGATCGGCATCAACTTCCTGGTTTTAGAACCAGTACCTTAAGGTAAATAAAGAACGTTTAGAAAATATCAGACTTCATTTCCCATAACATCTAGAGTAGGTATTGATTCTCTTTGTCACATCTTCCGGACAGACGACACATTTCTGTTTCCCAAGGGATGAGAAGATATATGGAGCAATTACTGCTTTATTACAGCATTTATAACCTGTTTAATGTGAGGATCATCAGAGCGACCCCGACCCCAGGGGACATGTTTGGATGAATGGTCAGCTGTTAACCTTTGACCCTCTCATCCAATAGACCCAACTGCTCTTCCCCTCTGCTCTGACTGGTTTTGTGTAAAATAAACTCTAAAATATAACTTTAGTGTCACTTTCTTTCATAAATTCTTCAAATTGAAATGTAAACATACTGTATTAACTGTGACTTAAGGTGGCGCTCCATAAGCTGCTGTTTGACTGTGGGAATGTCTTGTGTTGTCATGTAGTGTTTTAACCCAATCCAAATAGTTAACAGCCATTCAATGTGTTTGTGGCCAGACAGCTATAACATAGAAAACAATTTAATATCACTCAGAAACTAATTGAATTTTTAAGTGATAAGCTTCTGTTTATATTGTGAGGGGATGAGTGCAGCACCAGTGAACCAGAGGCTACATGCAGCAAACTAATTATTTTATAATAAAAACAACACTTATCTGAAAACAAACCATTGGAAGCTTTTTTAGGATTAATATTTTATCAGAATTTTAATGTTCAAGCTGTGGACTGCAGTGAGGAAATTTACTTGTTTTTCAAAAGAAATTTGCATTAGGAAATAAATAAAACATGATGACTCAGATAGAAAACAGAAAATAAACAATGGATGTTGACAAAAAAAAGGTAATGAGTTCACACTGTGTCAGACTATTACAGACTTGTGTATATAAATATAGAGTAGAACTATATATAAAGTATAAAATGGTCAACAAGAGGAATTTAATGAAATTAAATTACCAAAGAAATTACATTAGATTATATTCAGATTTTTATTCCAGACATAGCTGTAGGAATTAATTATAAAAACAAAACAAAATGTTTTTACCAGTTACCAACTCATGGGCCAAGAATTTAAACAAGCACGTATAGCTCCCTCTTCAGGAATGTGAGGGGACACCACACTCACCAAACAATTCTTGCAGTCTACCTTTAACGCCTTAGTAAAGAACATGGTGAAGGCTAATAGTTCATATATAACCAACTCTAATGGCACGTTTCACTCACATAAACCAGGTATGTTTTAAATACCGTTAAAAAATATGATGAGTGGAAATGGATCAACTGTCAATAATACATTAGAATATCATCATACAACATTATTACATACAACATACATCTGTTGAACCTTGCACATGATCAAACTGAACCACTATACATACTGTAAAACACTTACAACCAAACACTTCTGCAGTTAATGTTAACGCCTCAGACATTCTGTGAGCTTATGAAGAGGATCAGTCATGTTTGTCCCTGGGCATGTTGTGTAACTGAGTTGTGTGTCTTTAATATGAAGGTCGCGGCAGTGAACAGCACTGTGGTAATCCATTAGGCTTGAATGTAGCTCAAATATTACATTTTGGATACGTGTGCTTGTGGACGAGTGCACAACCACATCAGAGCAGCCCACAGGAATGGAGATGAGATTACTCCCAAGTGGGCTGCTCCGAGTGCAAACATTTTTATTGGGATGCCAATAACCAGGAGGGAGAGGCAGAGGACAGCTCTGTTCACCACTGGCATCACAATAGAGGGGGTAATGTG